TACCACTTGCCTGTGAGAGTATTTCCTTTGCCTGCAATGGGTTTTGGTTAAGGTTAACAGAAACCTTAGGTTGTTACACATAAATGCCTATAGGTTGTTACACATAAATGCTTATTCCTCTGTGAACGCCTTGATCTTACCAAATATCCCCAGAGTTGCACTCTTCCAAGACCTTTTTCCTAGCATGCCTTTTGAGGTGCTTCTGCTCCTTTACATGTGCAGATGTAGATAGAAACAACTGTTGCCTTTAAGCAGCCATTTTATAGCTGTGTTCAACTGTGCTGAATCTCCTCTTCCAACTGGTGGTGGGTAATCTCGGCTCCTCTTTACTCGCTCTTTAATATTTCTGTGGGTGGATGTCTCAAACATTTAGTACTATCTGTGAATTTCATTGAAGTGAGGTTTACTTTCTGAAATCGTTCAAACTTAATGCTTTGTATTTATCGTAATTATTCCTATAAACCCTTGATTGCATATAAATGCAAACCAATCTGAACAATTTGTAATCCATAATATATTACAGATCCATGCTGCTAATACTCATCATCATTTAATTACACTCTGTAAGAGTGACCTTTTATGAGATTTTTAAGTTTGGTACCTCCTCCCCTTTTGAGTCATCATTAAATACATACACACTCCTTCATTTGTTAATTAATGCACATACATTGTCTCAAATATTACTTTCTCCCTTGACAAACTTTTAAATATTAACCTTCACCCCTGTCACTTAGCATCAGGTCATTTATTAGTTAGTGGTGAAAGATTAAGTTATAATGCATAAGCTGAAAAATTCTTTTACTATGAATTAGGTTGTCATGGGATAAGAGGGAAGATTCTTTCATGGATTGAGAACTGGTTAAAAAACCGGAAACAAAGGGCAGGAATAAATGGTAAATTTTCAGAATGGAGAAGGGTAACTAGAGGTGTTCCCCAAGGGTCAGTCCTGGGACCAGTCCTATTCAACTTATTCATAAATGATCTAGAGAAAGGGGTAAGCAGTGAGGTGGCAAAGTTTGCAGATGATACTAAACTGTTCAAAATAGTCAAGACCAAAGCAGACTGTGAAGAACTTCAAAAAGATCTCACCATACTGTGAGATTGGGCGACAAAATGGCAAATGAAATTTAATGTGGATAAGTGTAAAGTAATGCACATTGGAAAAAATAACCCCAATTATATATACAATATGATGGGGGCTAATTTAGCTACAACTAATCAGGAAAGAGATCTTGGAGTCATCATGGATAGTTCTCTGAAAACATCCACGCAGTATAAAACGGCAGTCAAAAAAGCAAATAGGAATGTTAGGAATGATTAAAAAAGGGATAGAAAATAAGACAAGGAATATCTTACTGCCCCTATATAAAACTATGGTACACCCACATCTTGAATACTGCATACAGATGTGGTCTCCTCACCTCAAAAAAGAAATTTTAGCATTAGAAAAGGTTCAGAAAAGGACAACTAAAATGTTCCAGAAAAGTTCCAAACTACACTGGCCCCGATCCTCCGGAAAAAGCACCCTTTTCCGGAGGCTCTTATTCCTACTTCAAAGGAAAGTGGCTTTTTCCGGAGGATCGGGGCCAGTGTAGACGCTCTTTTCCGGCTTTTTTAAAAGCCGGAAAAAAGCGGCGGACATTTTTATTTAAATGCCGCGGGGGATATTTAAATCCCCCGCGGATTTCCCTACTACGATAGGTGAAATTAACATGCCCCTACCGGAAAAGGAGCCAGTGTAGACGTAGCCAAGGGGTTTGGAACAGGTCCCGTATGAGGAGAGGCTAGAGACTGGGACTTTTCAGTTTAGAAAAGAGGAGACTGAGGGGAGATATGATAGAGGTATATAAAATCATGAGAGGTGTGGAGAGGGTGAATAAAGAAAAGTTATTTACGTGTTCCCATAATATAAGAACTAGAGGACACCAAATGAAATGAATGGGTAGCAGGTTTAAAACTAATAAAAGTAAGTTCTTCTTCACACCATGCATAGTCAACCTGTGGAACTCCTTGCCAGAGGAGGCTGTGAAGGTTAGTACTATAACAGAGTTTAAAAATGAGTTAGATAAATTCATGGAGGTTAGGTCCATAAAAAGCCAGGGGGATAGAAATGGTGTCCCTGGCTTCTATTTGTCAAAGGCTGGAGATGGATGGCAGAACACAAATCGGTTGATCATTGTCTTCGGTCCACCCCCTCTGGGGCACCTGGCACTGGCCACTGTCAGCAGACAGGATATTGGGCTAGATGGACCTTTGGTCTGACCCAGTACAGCCATTCTTATGTTCAAGATCTCTAAAAATATCATGCCCAAGAATAATCTAGAGATCATGCAGCCATTTTGCTAGCCCTGTTTATGACAGAAACCGCTTCAAGCCAGAGGATGCACCCCCACATCCTTAATTATAGCATCTTAACTTTTTTTTTAACTAAGTTATAAAATCATACACTACAAAAATAGATTCCAATGCTTTTTGAAAAGGCTATATATCTGACTGAAAATAGTTCTTTTAGACCAAGATTCCAAGGCAGTGTTTGAAACTCAAACATTGAAACAGCACGACATTAATTAGTTAAAAATTGTAGAACTTATTTTTTGTTCAGTATCTATACTTAGATAAACCGAGAAAGCAAAGCACAGCCAGGCTGCAAGAGTAATGCTGCAGAATAGAAAACCTGTAATATTTCCCTATGAAGAAACAAGCATTAGCTGCCATCACTACAAATATTGCTTAAATTATACTTAAAACTTTCCAATTTTTTCCAGCTCTCTAATTTTGTAGTGAATGGTAATATCCCAGTGTGGCCATTTAGTCTACCATTTAGACTCACTTGTCAGTGGGAGCCTTTCCTTTGCCAACCATGGTCTTTGGGTCAGTCCATAGTCTGTGGCAGAGAAATACTTATTCCTCTATGAATGCCTAGATTTTACCAAATCTCCCCAGAGTGGGGTTGCACTTTCTAGGGCCTTTTCTCCAGATACCTTTTGAGAAATGATTAGGGGGCTGGAGCATATGACCTATGAGGAGAGGCTGAGGGAGTTGGGACTGTTTAGTCTGCAGAAGCGAAGTCTTTTCCAGCTCTATGGTTCTATGATTCTATGAACTGCTGCCCCTCAACTGCTATCAGCAATCAGCCATTTTGCATCTTTCTACTATAGCTCCTCTTCCAGCTGATAAATATTCTTATCTCCTGTTGTACTTACTGCTTAACACTTCTGAGAGGGTGTGTCTAGACTACATGCCTCCGTGGACGGAGGCATGTAGATTAGCCAGATCGGCAGAGGGAAATGAAGCCGTGAGTAAAATAATCGCAGCTTCATTTAAATTTAAATGGCTGCCCCGCTCTGCCGATCAGCTGTTTGTCGGCAGATTGGGGCAGTCTGGACGCGACGCGCTGACAAAGAAGCCTTTCTTGATCGGCACAGGTATGCCTCGTGAAACCAGGTTTACCTGTGCCGATCAAGAAAGGCTTCTTTGTCGGCGCGTCGCGTCCAGACTGCCCCGATCTGCCGACAAACAGCTGATCGGCAGAGCGGGGCAGCCATTTAAATTTAAATGAAGCCGCGATTATTTTAATCGCGGCTTCATTTCCCTCTGCCGATCTGGCTAATCTACATGCCTCCGTCCACGGAGGCATGTAGTCTAGACGTACCCAGAGTGGCAGAGTCTCACAAATTGGAATACCATCAGTGAATTCCATGAAAGTGATGTTTACTCCCTCAAATCCTTATGACAACACACCAGAAACATCCTTCCAACGTAATCCTTTGTATTTATCATTACTATTTGTATAAATCCTTCAGTGAGCATAAACCTAAATCAATTTGTACGTAGGTGTCAAAATGTATTTGTTACAGATCTATGCTGCTAACATACATCATTTAAATATACCCTAGAGAGTGATTCTTTTTAAGGTATAGACTACAGTGTTAATTTTTAAAATGATTAAATAGATTGGGCTACTTTGGGGCTAGTTTTTAAGTGATGGTGGATTATTGATGCAGTAGAAAATAGCCCTAGAAATCATTGTTAAAATTGCACCCCATCTGAAACTGCACTCCCCAGTTCGCAGCTTTGTAAGCTTTCTCTAAAACTATCCCATTGTATTTCAGCCCTAGCCTAGAGGGGTCAGAATGTGGATACCAGAATGAGAGAAGTGTTCTTTCTTAAGGCCAATTCAACATTTTGCTTTGTTGCTAAGAGGACTGCCAAGGTTTCCCATTGTGAGGCAGATATCTGCCCACTAGGAACATCACTTACTGCTAACTGGTTAGTCATGTGGTTTGGATACTGGAGTTATGACTTCAGCCCTCCTGCTAGTCTGACAACTTTCAGGTTTATACATCAACTGAGTTTATCACAAGTCTGTCATTTAGCACTAATCTTGCCCTTATCACTCATCTGCTAAGTGGTTTCTGTACCTTTTTTGCTAGAGTCATTCTTGGGGATTAGCAAACAGGTCCAGTCTTCAGCTTCATTTCCCTTCTGCCTTATCCTGGAAGAGTTATGTAAGAGTCATCTTTACCCTTTCTGTCCAAGGTCTCTTCTCCTCTTCTGGCTCTGTTCTTTTGTGGTTTTTTTTTCTTTGACTTGTTTTTTCTTGATTATTTTAGTTGCTTTTTCCATTACTCTTGACTTTTACGCTTTTTCCTCCCTGCTAGCCATTCCTTTCAACACAGCAATGTTATTCCAGAGTAACAGACACTATTCTGAAATAACTATGCAAGCGTCTACACAGCAAGGCCATTATTTTAAAATAATATCAAAATAACAGGCTTCTTATTCCAGATTCTGTACCCCTCATTGTACAAGGAATAGTGCCTTCCGAAATAGCTGTTTCAGAATAGGGCATGTGTAGAAGGGGAAGCTGGAGTTATTTCAAAACAAGAGGCCTCCAGGAAATCCCATAGATACCCTGCTGGCCACTGTAGCTTCCCTTTCCTTGCAGCTTTATGCATGGTTTCTCCTGGGATGACTGCCCTTCTCTTGGTTCTCCACAGCTGGATCAGCTGTAAGAGGGGAGTGGTCGACACCTCCCAGGCCATCTTCCTGACCCTGCGTGACCCACTGGCACAGGAGAACCCACGAGGACCTCCAGAGGGAGCATATCCATGGATTGGCAGAACCGGAGACTTGAGGAGGACCTCCAGCTGCATTGCGACACTTGGCAGGAGCTGCTGCAGCAAGGCCTATCCGTCTGTGCAGCCTTCCACGTGGTCATTGACCACCTCATCGCTGCTCCTGAGCTGGTTCCTGCCTCTCCAGCTTCTCCCCTTACCCCTCATGGCTGCCGAGAGCCCTGGACATGAGGAGGTAGAACCACCCCACTCAGGTGCCACTCCTAGCCCCAGACTTGACTCTCTCCTCCCACCCTCCTCCTCTTTTCACTTCTCTCCTCCCCCCTCCCAGGTTCTTTCCTCAGTACCTTCCGTTATATTCACCCCAATAAAAAAAACCCAGAGTTTATTGTTTCCAAACAAAAAGTGTACTTGATTGTTTGCGCAGGGGAGTAAGGGGAGAGGGAGAGGGGGAAGGGAGGGATGTAGGAGGACTGGAAAAGAGGAGTGATGCACAGACCCCTTGTGAGGGGTTCCAGGGGAAGAGTGCCACTGGGGTCCATGTGTGAAACTCTCCCTCAGGGCCTCACAAATATGCACATCCCCCTGATGAGCTTGCTGGACAGCAGCCGTGTGTGGCTGCTCAAAGGCCCTGCTGATCCGGTGAGCCTCTGCCCCCCACCCTGGCAGGAAAGTCTCCCCCTTGCTTTCACAAATATTGTGAAGGACACAACACACCACCACCATCTAGGGGACATTCTGCTCACTGAGGTCCAGCTGGGTGGGGAGGCAAGGAAACCTCCCCTTGATACATCCAAAGGCGTCCTCCACAACAATACAGGCCTTGCTGAGTCTGGTGGGGTCAAGGTGTCAAGTGTAGAGTTTCATTAGCCATGGGAGCAGAGGGTGGGCTGTGTCCCCTACAGTATAGCCTGGCATGTCCACATCCCTGACCCTGATGATGCGGTCAGGGAAAAAGGTGACGATATGCAGTTTCTGGAAGAGGAGGGAGTTTTGAAAGACATGTGTGTTGTGCGCCTTCCCCGACCACCCAACGTAGATGTCTGTGAACTGGCCGCAGTGGTCAATGAGGGCCTGCAGAATTATCAAAAAGTACCCCTTACAGTTAATGTATTTGGATGCTCTGTGGTGGGGGCCCAAATGGGGATGTGGGTGCCATCAATAGCGCCCCCACAGTTGGAGAAGTCCATGGCAGCAAAGCCGGTGATAATGGAGTCCACGTCGCCCAGGTTGATGACTGTGCAGCAGGACAGTGTTGATGGTCCTCACCAGCTGTAGAAGAAAGCAAACAAAGAATCACAGGATTGCCCAGGCCCTTGGGAGACCCCCAAACCCAACCTCCCTCCTCTTTCCCCCACACACCAGGAGCAACCCCAACTTGCCCCATCCCCCATCAGGTCTTTGTGAAGATGGGACTGACAAACATTGTGGGGAAGGGACTTCCACGACCACCACCCGTTGCCTAGGGAACCCCACACCAGCAGTTCAGATCAGCACCCTCCTGGGACAATAGCACGAAAGTATTATACCTGCATGACCACAGCCCCGACGGTTGATCTCCCCACACCAAACTGGTTCCCAACAGACCAGTAGCTGTCTGGCATGGTGAGCTTCCAGATGGCAATGGCTACCGACTTCTGGAGAGGGGCAGATAATCTCATATGGATGCCCTGTCACCAGAGGGCAGGAGTGAGTCACTCACACATCTCTAGAAAGGTGTCCTTCTGCATATGGAAATTCTGGAGCCTCTCCAGATCTATCTAGTTTCACCAGTCAAGGCTGGCATCATCACCAGAAGTGGTGGGACACGGTGTGCAGGCGCAGTTGGGAGGGTTGAGCTTCATGTGCAGCACCTGGGGGCATTGCCCCATAAGGAGCCCAGGGTCCTGTTCCTGCAGGGCCAAGAAGGCAGTCCACAGAAACTGCAGCAGGAGGTGCACTAAGACATATAAGAGCTGTAGACTGCTGGGACACAGGTCCGGCTCCATAGCTACAGAGCTAAGGTGTCCGCAAGGGCAACCAGAGCAGGAAAAGGAAAGGCGTTGCTGTCCCTCAAGGAGATAGGCAAAGGAGAAGAGCCTGAGACATGGCTGTACAGGGGGGTCCCTTTAACCTCGAGCCTCAGATAGCCTCAGGCAGCAGCGCCAAGGAAGAGAGTGCTATCCTGATGCACTGCCTGAAGTGTGGCCTTAAATGCAATTCAGTGTCCAATGAGTGTGGACGCTCTATTTCAAAATAGGTCAGCGCTATTTTAATGGGCGCCTCTACACCGAGGCCTTAAGTCAGTGTAGCATATGTAAATCATAAGTACCAGATGCCTGAGAAAGGGGTTTCAATTTTGTAATTTGAGTCTGTGAGTTTGAGAACAACTAAGTTTAATAAATAAGGTAAAGACTCAAAGAAAGCCACACACAGGCTACATCTAGATTGCATCCCTTTTTCGTAAAAGGGATGCAAATTAGACGTATCGCAATTGCTAATGAAGGGGGGATTTAAATCTCCCCTGCTTCATTAGCATAAAAATGGCTGACGCTTTTTTTCGGCTCGGAGCTTTGCCGGAAAAAAGCGCCAGTCTAGACGCGGATCTTTCGGAAAATAAAGCCTTTTCCGAAAGATCCCTTATCCCTTAATTTGAGTCTTTACCTTATTTATTAAACTTAGTTGTTCTCAAACTCACAGACTCAAATTACAAAATTGAAACCCCTTTCTCAGGCATCTGGTACTTATGATTTACATATGCTACACTGACTCAAGGCCAGAAAGCAGCATTAGGGCGAGAAGAGGGGTAGGGAGAAAGAAGATAAACAGAGGTAAGGAAAGCTGTATCGGGACACTGGATCCGTTCTGACTCACTACACATGTGCTGCTGTGGGTAATTCGGTGAACAGCCCATTGAGACCCACCTTTCTTTCTTGCACCTGTGGACCCAGCTTATCCAGGAAGTCAGGAATATGTCACATCAACGGGCTGAGGAGAAAGCAGCCTGCCAGCCCAATCTCTCCATCTTTGGTCTCCTAACATTCAGCTCAGGTGACAGAGTATGTGTCCTGCCCCATCAATGGATGTTCCTAAGCCCCAAACACTATGGCTACGTCTACACTGGCACCCTTTTCCGGAAATGCTTAAAACGGAACAGTTTTCCATTATAAGTATTTCCGGAAAAAGCACGTCTACATTGGCAGGATGTTTTTCCGGAAAAGTACTGTTTCTGGAAAAGCGTCCGTGGCCAATGTAGACGCGCTTTTCCGGAAAAAAGCCCCGATCATCATTTTCGCGATTGAGGTTTTTTTGGGGAAAAGACTACTGTGCTGTCTACACTGGTCCTTTTCCACATCAGTTTTTCCAGAAAAGGACTTTTCCCCGAACGGGAGCAGCATAGTTTTTCTGGAAAAACACTGACAATTTTACAGTAGATCGTCATTGCTTTTCCGGAAAAGCAAGTGGCCAGTGTAGACAGCTGGCAAGTTATTCCGGAAAAGCGGCTGCTTTTCCGGAATAAGTGGCCCAGTGTAGACACAGCCAAAGTGGCTAGCTAGGGCACATCTACAGTGCACTCTTGTTTCAGAATAAGTTATTTCCCCCACAGAGTTTATAAAAAATAACACTACACTGCCCACTTTTTTTCAAAATCATCACCAAGGCAGCACTTCAGTCTTTAAAAAAATAAGGATTTAAATAGATGGATTTAAATACATGGATGCTCACTTTTAAGGATATTTAAATGGAATGATATTCCATGTCATTGTTCTGTGATTCTACAGCTTTCTTCTAAGCACTTATGTACGACTTCCCATCTGGGGAATCTCAAAGCACTTTGCATGCATTAACTAACTAATCCTCACATGTCCTCTAATAGCGAAATGTTATTTCCATGTCACAGATGGAAAAACTGAGACACAATGACACCAGGGATACGGCTACACTGTGCGGGGGGGCGGGTTTCGAAGAAGGTGTACAAATTGCGCTCACTGATTGTTAAAAATAATGAACACAAAAAATCTAATGTAGGGTAAGGGTGTAGTTAAAAATACAGATTGTAATAAATCACAAGAGAGGAAATATAAAAGCCTTACAATAGTTTTCAACTATAATATGTCCTTTGTACACATTAATGTAGAAAATTACTTGTCTTTGACTTCCATAATTCTATAGTTAAGGCATGGGACTAAGAATCAGGACAGTTGGGTCGTACTCCTCATTCTGTCACAAGCTTTCTTTGTGACCTTCAGTAAATTATATAGTCTGGTTTTCAAAAAGGCAGGTGTCCAATTATACATACACAATATATGTGCAGGTTCCAGGCATAATATGTGCACACTATCACAGGGCTCAAGTATACAAATCAAGTATCTATGTATGCAAATGAAGACTGTGGTAGTGGTCATTTGCATTTACAAATCCTCAGTCTGCCAGCACAATTCACAGTGATTGTGTGCACAGATTAAGCTTCAGGTGTACATGGAATCAGGCTCTTAAAAATATTGAACCTCATCAGTATACCTGAGACAACAGTCACATTCAGTGTCCTCCAGGCATGCTATGAGACTCAATGTTTGTTAAGTACACAGGTCTTGGAAGTGCAAAATTAAGTGTGAAGTACTTTTATCATTTAAAAGTAACTGACAATCTTTAGGTAATAAAATAAGACATAACCTCTATGACTAATGAAAACACTGTGAATTCTGAATGCTTGCAATGAACTGCTCATGGAAAAATGACAGACCAAAAAATTATTCAGAAATTACTCAGAAAATTACACTGAATAACTAATACATCTGAGAAAATTTTGTTCTGCTCCTGGAACTAACAAAAAAGAGGTAGAATTTATTAACTAATTATCCTTTACAAATTATTCACCCAGCTCTACTAGAAAACTCAGAATAGAAGTGTGCTCAAGCATGTGTCTATTATAACATTCACTAGCCTTGCAGTAATTTGAGTTGAGAAATTGTGAAATTGTGGTCTCCATGCTCATATTAAATTGTTTTTCAGACAATTAATGT